ATATATATATATATATATATATATATATATATATATATACATATATGCGTATGTGTGTGTATTATATATAGATATAGAACATATAATATATATAATATTCTCTTTTTTACCCTTTTCCCTGTCTCGTGACTTTAGTCACGTGTTCTTTTTCCAATTCTCTCTCTCACTATTTTTTGAGTTTGATTTTCATGCGTTATTTCTGACATTTCTCATATGTGTATTATATGGTTTATAAGACGTATATATTATCTGTCATCGCGGTGACAGGTTGTGTTCACTGACAACACGTTAAATAAAAATAACAATAGCGTGCGCGTAGCGCGCGCCTGTGTTGTGTTAGTAAAATCAAATTGAAAGATTTTATAAGCGTCAACTTACATTGGCGCGAAGTATTATTCTAAACAAACGTGTTGCAATGGACCGGTACATGCGCGAACAGCATACTGATCAGAAAGACATAAAAACCTTGTATTAGAATGCATTGAGAAAGAGAGAGAGAGTAGCACAAACTTTATTGTGTTCTACACTAGCTTACTGAGTTTAGCTACCAGTATTTAATGTTGTTTAATTCTAAAGACAAAATTTAATAAATTAGTAAATTTTTAACAGTAGTATCTATTAAATCACGTATCTATATGCGTATGTGCGCTTTTATTCTTGAAAACTTAAAACTTCTATCCAGATCTTATTGTCAGATTATATTACAACGCTATCTCCGAGATACCGTAAATATTTAACCTCTAAAAACAGTGCCACAGTTTCAGAATAGACAATCGATATTGGCAACAGAAATATCTTTCAGCAATTGGCAATTGTGCTTCTTAAAGCAGTTAAAAAGCAATCTTAAACTCTGTAGAAAATTTGCTGTAAATTCTTCATAAAAGTGGTTTTTTAAATTTCTTACATAAGTTAGAAATTAAAAAATAGTTATAATGCAAGTTTTCCTGTTATTGTAAAAATTAGAAAATAATATGTTAATAAAAAAGATGTTTTTATACAAGTCACGCGCAACGTATTGCTTCGGGTATCAAATGTAATGCCATACTTAATTTTCCTTTTAATGTTTTGAGTACAAGATGATAACACGGAACATTAAAAAAATATTGAAAGACACTTTAAATGTTGATCAATATATAAATAAATATGTATCGCATTACACATAAATATTTTATTACATTTTTTATTTTGCGCGTCTTTCTATCGAAAAGAATATAAAAAACAAATGCTTTTTTTCACACAAGTTGAAAATTCAACAAAATTTCTAATTATAAAACTTGACTATTCCACTTAAAATTTCAAACGTGTATTGTAAAACGCGTATGTGTCTTTTTTGGTTTCAATATTGCTTCGTAGTTTTTTTCTCGAAAAATTAATGTTAAGTATATGTATGCTTGAAACGTATTTTATATTTAACCTAGTAGGTAATTACCTAGGTAGGTAATTACAGTAATGACTTCTAGTGTTTTGCTTCTGGCCGTGTCAACGCGACACCGCGGAAAGTAACAAGAAGCTAACAGTGAGCAAATAAAAAATAAATGGTCTTCTTAGTTTATAAATACTTCATATGCATATCTCTTTTTCTTTCACAAATAAGAGCTAATTTGTCGTCTATTGTATATTTTCTTTTCTATCTTTAATTTATTTTGTAAAAGAAAATTTTCTCTCATATTTTTGACTTCAAATATTAAAAGAATTATGTCTAAAAAGATCAATTACAAGAAGATTAAGTTCAATTATGAATAAGTCTTTGTGTCGTACGCGATGTACATTTTTTGTTGTACGCAGCCCTGAAGTGCGATTCTCATTACTGCTCTTCGACACGATGTCGCGCGATCGATAGTCCTGGAAGACACACCCGGATACACTACGCACTTACCAGAAGGTGGTGAGGAACTAGGAACATTTTGCTCAGATATCGCGAGTGTTATCATTGCAGGTCGGTAAGGGGTTGTAGATGGAGGAAAAGTTGCGAGCTGAAGGTAGAAGCAACTTTGCGGAAAAATAACGTACTTATTTCACTTACGTTAATTCCTTTTTGTTTCCTTTATTCTCCGATAGATGTCAGTATTCGCAGCGGGGGTTGAACAATTAAATTGCAAAACAACAATAAACGCTGCGTTTATTGTAAATCACAATGATATACTACTTCTGTACTATGTAATTTTCGGTTTAACAATCGCGATTATTTCTTCAACGAGCGATAAACATGTATGACAGTTACATGTATGTCCATTACACATCTGAAGAAAACTGGTAACAAGCATAATACTACGACTATAACTACGATATTTTATGTAGTATCTGACTTATTAACAATGTAATTAATAGCACTGTTTCCAAAGTAATAAGTACTTGTATGGTTTTAAAGTTCGCGATAACATTCTAGTATTTATTAGTCATGAATTAAAAAACCTAACGAGCCGCGATTTTTTATTGTAAAAAGTTATTATTATTATGTCTTTAGAATATAAAAGGCATTAGACGATTGACTGACCTTTAATAACTATATCCAATTATGTGCCGTAAAAAAAATACTGATCTTTGGTCAGAAATTATGTATAAAGAATGGCTGAATAAAAAATCTGAATTTATTGATTATTATCTCTGTTGTGTTTCTTATATCTGATTATTTAATACTTAAAGTACGATGTCACTAGAGTTAACAGAGTGTAGTGAAAAAATGACACAATAAAACTTCGCGAGTTTTAGAATAAGAAGAACGAAGAAATTGACTTGGGAATTGACAGTTAGCGCGACAGTCTCATAAAAGCGAAGCCACGTATCCAATACCTACTTTCTAAATATGTAAAAGGTATACAAGAGCGCTGATAACAAATTTACACTTTAGTGCATCACAGTAGAAAATAAAAAAATAATTAATTTAATTTGGATTTATAAATTTCTGATATTTTTACGAAATAGCACTCGAGTTTAATATTGCTTAAGTTATTAATTACGGTTTGTATGTATATTTAATAGTGATATTGGTTTTTCGCGCGAGTTTCTGTGACATGTTCTTTAATTTTTAGTACTTATTTTGTTCTTTTACAATTTAAATTGAACGGAAATGGATCATTAAATTAATGAAAATTTATTCTGCCGCGCGAATAACCACTTACCGTTAATCAAAGCTCCAATAAATCGAATTTTATATTCGAATAGTTAAGTATCGGAATATTGACAAGTATACGTGGCAATATGCGGATATTTTGAGAATGAAAAGCTCTCTAACTGTCTGTCGTCGGTTGTGTAATGAATACTGGCACTATTATTCCAAGACTTAAATTAAGCGTCTAGTTTGTGCGGCTATACATTATATGTCCTGGATTTTTCTGGATTCTCCTGGAATAAAACATTATCAACAATTATCACACTTATCAAGATCTCGTCTTTATTTAATAAACTAAGTTTAATTATGTGCATATTAATAAAATCTAAATAATAAAATTAAAAAACATTATCTACTTTTTTAAAAATATTTTATTTCCAGTGTTAGACA